CGGTGGCTCTGGATCTGTTTTCCATAGCGATGCTTCTCCCCGCTCGGGTCGCAGCTGGAGGTCCGGGCGCCGCTGCATAAAGGGCCGAGTGTTCCGGGGAATTCTTGGCATTCTCGCCGCCGGCCGGCCCGGGAGGCTGGGAATTGTTTCTCGCTGGGAGGTTTTCCCTGGGGGAGAGCGCGCGGGGCTGGCAGCTGCGGTGGCCCCCAGCTGCAGCCGGGCCACGTAGCACCACGCGCAGCGCGAGGGGCTGCGAGGGACGCGCCGATGCAGCAGGGCCGTCACCACACAAGGGACAAATCAGTGTAAACCCCAAACCCAAAGCTTGCTTGCTTTATTTATCTAATTATTTATCTTTCCCTCTTCCTGTTCTTAAAATTCCGGGTCCCAGTCGTGGAGCACTTAACCACCTGACTGAGATTAGCTGCAAACCTCACCCTGGACTATGTGCTCACACTTTGCAAATGTGCTTGGCTCTTGGTGGCATCTGGGTGTGACCAGTTTCCTGTGAAAGGTGTTAGGATCCGGATGAGGCCCTGCTAAGTGGGTGAGCGGGTTCCCTGCGTGCCCAGGGGAGCTGGAAGGCTGCGGTTGTGGCACAGAAGCCCCTTGGGCTCCGCAGCTCCCGGCCGTTGTCCTTAGCCCTGCTCGGCTCTCGGTACCGCTCTCGTGCCAGGGTGTTCCGCTTGGCAGGCTGCAGCGTGAGCTCGTCAGCAGTGCTGCAATCACTTACTAGCTCACGAACACGGGAAAAACAACGTTGTCACCTGCGAGCGCGTCTGTTTTGGGTGCTGCCAGCCCCGGAAAGGTGCTTACCCAGCGGCAGGTTCAGGGCAGCTGCTCCGGGCCCTGGCCAGCGCCGCGGGGTGCGAGGAGCGTTTGCTCAGCAGGTTTTGTGCCCGTGCTCGCTGTCCGGTGTTGCGCGTGCGCGGACGTGCGCTGGGGTGCCCTGCAACAGGGGCTGCGCCGGGGCAGGAGTGAGGCCAAAGCCCAGGGGTGTCTGCCCGGCGGGGAAAGCAGGGTCCCTCCGAGCACGGGCTCTGCAGATACTGAGCCGCCCTGGGCCTCAGTTAGCCCATGGCCTGGTGGGACACTCCGAGCACCTCCGCACCGCATGCCCGAAACTGCGCGGTTGGGTCACACCTTCCCTCTGTGCGGGTGCTGCAGCTCGTGCACGAGCCCCGTTTGCCTCCCTGGGTTGAACGTGCAGCCAAGTCTCTTCCAGTCCCTCCTGTGCTCAGCTGCAAACGAAGCTCCTTGCAGGGCAGCTGCCAAGTTCCCCGTTTGCGGGCGCTCTCGCTGGGGAGAGCAGCGGACGGTGAGGAGGTGAGGGCAGCGCTGCCGGGGCTGTCCCCACTGGCGCCGCGTGGAGCTGCCATGTCCCCATGTCGCTCCTGCCACATCCTATGCCTTGGGAAGCTGCTGGAGCCCGGAGCCGGCAGCATGAGACCTGCCCAGGTGCTGAAGGATGTTCTGGCACCCCAGATCCTTTTGGGATGAAGCTCATTGCTCATGCAAAGCCCTTCTATGTAACCAAAAACAAGGAGGAAAAAAAAGACTTCCTTTCCCCTGCTTTTTTTCCCCTTAGTCGTTCTGCCTTGGGAAATGTCAACCATTTATCTCTGTCACTTATGTTTTGGCGGGTGCATAAGAGGGGAAAAATCACTGTAGACACAGGGAAGTGCAGTGTTATCTAACCCCTCAGGGCATAAACCAGGAGTCCTCCCTGAACTGGCGTTTTGCTGAGAAACAGCAACATGCGTTGGGGGTTTTGCTCTTGTCTTGGCAGAACATGCGGCAAGCTGCTCGCCCGCTGCAGCAGGATGGGAGATGTGGAGCAGAGCGCCCGTCCTGCCGTGCTCCTATGGAAAAAGGCGGCTGTTGGTGTTTAGGACTGCGGCTTCTGCTCCTGCTTTTGCCCCTGCTTTTGCTTTGCCTGCTGCGTTGGGGAAAATGCATCCGAAGGGGCTGGGGCGCTGTGGACGGGGGCACCTCGTGCCCCTGTCACCCAGGGCGGCTCTTCCTTTGAGCTTTGGGCCGGG